ATCCTCTCTTCCACTTTTATTCATTTCTCTGTATGGCTGTGAAGGACTAACATGGACTCTCTGGGTCTTTTCATGCTCTCCCTGCTGCTGTGCTCCCAGTGGACAGCTGCCCCTGCTGCGGGTAAGATTTTCATTAACATAATAATCAGCGTCCCACCACCACATCCTTTATTCTTTGGTCTTGACGACGGTGTGACTGAGCCTTTTGTACGTTTCAGAAATAACTCCAACCACCATTGTACTGTACATGAACGCTGCTGAGGCTCAGCACTGACTAGAGGAGACGGAGTTCTGAAAGTCTCAGTGATAAACTCTGCTGAAAACAAGTGATTAAAACAATTTTTTTTTCTTCTTTTCAGAAGAAATCACCTGGAGCTACACTGGTGAGTTAAACTTTTATTTTTTATTTTTTAAAAAGTGATTCTTCATTTGTTTCTATATGATTAAGTACATTTTTGGTTCTATAGTGAAGCGGTTAGCATGCTTGCCTTGCAAGCAGAGAGTCCGAGGTTTGATTCCCATGTTAACAGACCTGCTGTTAACACAAGAATTACCCCAGAGTGGGATCTAAATATTTATGTACGTACTTGAATAAAATGTATTTACTGAGCAGTGCAAATATACGGGGCACGTGGAGAGAACGGTGACACGATCAAGTTACAGTTCGAGTCGCACAGAGGATCGAGTTTTGGTTGAAACAGTCGGCAGTCTTGTACATACATCATATAAATATTCTGTGTTTCCTGTTGTAACGTCCTCTCACCTCAGTCCCTCTGGACAGAGGGAGAAGACAAAACAGCACGGACTAGAGAGTGATGAGGAGAGGTGAGGAGGGAAAATCTAAGAGAAAAGGAGGCGAGGTCTTTGGTCAGAGGCAGGTGGACAAGTACGGGGGAGTGAGCGGACACAGCCGGGTCGTACCGAATCCTGGGCCTGTTATTGTTACAGTGCACAAAACACTGAGTGTTAATTGTTCTGGGGGGGAGCACACGGGCTGCCTCGGCGCCGGACAATGACGCTGTGTCATGAATGGAGCACATACACTGGCTGCCTGGGTGTAGTCAGGAGCTCATCACCAACGTAC